CACTCAAGGATACCCCGACAAAGCTTTGAACCCCATTCATCCGATTTCTCCGCTTGCCTCTCCCAAGGCGGCGCAGACATCTCTCATTTCTTGCGACGTTTCGTGCGCCAAAAAACATAGCGGCGGACAGTTGCAAAGTGCTTTGCAGAGAGTTAAAAACGAGAACTGGATATCACTACACCGTGGCTCGAGTCATCCAAGGAAATCACGATATGTTTCTCCCAAACCAGGGGCCCAGGCAGAAGTCCTCCCACAAAGGCTTCAATCCACCCCAAAACAGGGTCTTCTGAGCCAAGTGTGAGCTAGAGCCTCCTTGCGCATCGCTTTGGAGCCAAGGAGCGAAAAAATAGCACTCCAGTTCTGCGATCGAAGCAGGCTGGGCTGATCTAGACGAATCTTGGAACAGCTTTGTCCACATTCAAACACACCTAGACGAATCATTGAAAATCATCTGCTCAACAAACCAAGCCGGTCAGACCGGTCCCCACACTGTGACCTCTTGCAAGACCCCATCAGCCTGCGTTCTTCTTGTAGACTCTTCGAATCTCTTGTGGTGGAGAGCCATCTTGCTCATTGAGAACGCTCTGTGGGCTGGCTGCGGGCTGGGTGCTCCAGCAGCCATCAACCGGGATGAGGGGGGTCACTGGGTCAAGAGGTTGATTTCCTTCACCTCCAAACTTCCTTCACCACCAGCCCAAGTCGGTGACCAAAAATCCCCCTGTGAAAAACTGTAACACAGTCTTTCATGGATTCTTGACCCCCGAATGCCATCCGTCCTCATCGATTTTCCCGTCACTCGCGTCCTCTGCACTATCTTTAATTGCATCCTTAGGCATCGGGGATGATGAAGTCCCCTTTTTGCTCCTCCTCCTCATCTTCCACCGACTCTTTCTTGGGCCAATTCGCCGGATCCCAATTTTCCAGAGCCTTGCCACAGGCCGCATTCACATTCCCCAGCACCTGGGCGACAAAAGAATTGATGGGGCCTTGGAATGACCGAAAGGTGTCGAGCCGGGTGCAGTTTCAAGAGAGTGTAGTTACCAGCCTTGTTCATGCGCATCTGACGCAATGTGAGATGTTTTTGCAGATGCAAGGCTATTGTGAGCACATAATACGCCGACCCCAGCCGATCGCAGGGGAGCGCGCCAGCGGGCTATGGATGTATAATATTTGCTGGAAATGGTTCGACAGGTTTGTCAAGTTCCGGGCCACGGCTCGCCGAGGCTAAGGAAGATCTTGCACTTTCTGGTGTTCCTCATGCTAATTCGATCTTGTCCTTGATCTACCATCCCCTCAAAACGACCTCTGCCTCCCTGTCCATGGCACCAAGCACCCCCCCTGAACTCCACTCTTCCAGGCCGCCGCTGCACCACTGAAGACCCCCGTGGGCATCGCCGCGATCGCCTGGGTGCAGGCGGCCGTCTGCGACGCCTCGCCCACGATGGCGCGGCAGGTGATGCCCGAGGTCGCGCCGAAGCGCACGGAGGCACCCAGCAGGCCCAGGATGCCCAGGATGTCCAGGGCGCAGACCTGGGCAGCGATCGCCAACAAGGCGGACGCGGTTGGACCGGTGTTCGCCCTTGGTTCTTCCCGGGCGGGAGGAGATCTCTTTTGGGGTGGCCCGGACTTGAGAGGGAGGAGATCCTAAATGGTTTCCACTCACAAAGCTGGCATTACACTTAACAGTCCTCCAATCGACACATGGATCCGTTCTTCGGGATCTGCCGCCGGGGTCATTTCTGCCTGGAGAAGCGACGACATGGTAAAACCTCACACAAACAAAGCACAATCCTGTTGAAACTGTTTGAAACAAGACTGGAAGCGGGCATGCTAGCAAGGAATACGTACCAAGTTCACATTCCAGGTTCATGTCATGGTTTGTAGTTCAGCCTCAAACAAGAACAAATGAATTCGATTTAAAAAAAGATTGAATGGGGACACCCAAAGTGAACAATACAGTAGACCAAAATTTATTGGCTGGGAGGTCTCCTCAATCAAATCCAGTCCTATGGAGATCGATGAGATGCAAGAATCACCATCTTGAAAGGCCATTGAATGCATACAGAAACCCCTTCTCACCACCGCTCCCTCCCAACCCCGCTCAATTGTTCAGTGGCCCCGCCTTGGGTTCCAAGCCATACTTCTTGGGGCAGTGCACCACAGTGTCTGCAATCACCACAGCCAAACGCATGACCATGGTGCTCGTGAGCACAATGGAGCCAAAGCACCCAGCAATCGACCGATACACCCGATTCCTTACATCAAAAACATGAGTCAAGACCACATGTGTCACATCTAGGTTGTAGCACCGGAGACAAACACAACAAATGACTGATGTCATTATGTGTATGTGCGTGGCCTTCCATTGTGCAAAGCAGGTGTGAGAATCATAGCTACATCAATCGGATACGTTGTTTTTGCACGTTTGTACACCTGAGTGCACATACGCTTGGTTCGATGACCTTGGAGAGTGAGGTTTCGATGACCAGCGTGGCGGTCCGTGGCGGCGCATCTAGGCCGACTGCGTTGCTGATATGT